ATCGTGTTTAAGTTTTGCCCGTCAGGGTATTTTATCCAAAGATATTCTATATTTTTAGATTTTAAAGCCCTTTTGCCACCCTAATTTATTCCATAATCCATGTTGTTTTATGCGTACTAGTTTAAAATGCTTAACTCCCAAAAATGTTCTTATTTCCCTTGTTTTGGTATGGCTTTTAAGTAAGTATTTAAAACATTTATAATAACCCTTTTTAAAATTATATTAGTAGTCACGTTACGATCGTGCAAAGTGAAAAACGGAACAGGGTATAGGTCCTTAGCTTCACTCTTCTACGTCCTTGACCCGGTTCCGCTTGACGAAATGAGAACGACATTGGATTTAACACAGCGGGTGCTGAGATTCTTTATAGCTATGTGCCCCTGAAATCAAGCCAGCAAGGTGAGCGTCACAAGCTAAAAAGACGCAACATTACATAGTAGCCATTTTTGGGCCAAGTTGCGAACAAGAGGCACACACTTTAGATAGAGGCATATCGGTCGGAGGTAACAAAGGAACACAATATTGGGGCAACAACTGAAATCATACTTGGAAAGTGACCAGGTGGATTTGGTGATGAATCCATGCTCGAGTTCATCCAAAATGAAGCGGCAAACCGGTTTCACCTCAGTAATTGTTATACCTAAGTAGACAAGCTGCTGTGTATTGACCCTTTCAATGACACCGATAAAGCGAAGCAGCGTTGTCAGTGGATATGGCGAAGGCAATTGCAAAAGCGACCCCATCCATCCCCGGACCTCGTATCAATGACTAACAGCACATGCCAACAAAGAGTCGGAGGAGCAAGTCGTTTGGTTTGTTGACCCGACCGAAGAGTGTTGGAGTTGCATTGATTTCACGGACTCCAAACAAACATTTTTTAAAAGTACTGAATATTATTGTACGTTGAAACAACATCTAGTAGTAGACTACATCTTTTTAAGTTTTGATTAGTTCGATTTTAAATTTTATGACCTTTTTCATATACAAATATTATACACATGTAACTATGTGAGTCTTGAAGGAGTGAATCGCAGCGATTAGTTTCAACTTTCGTCTGTGGTCTTGGTATGGGAAATACGCCTATATCGAGTTTCACAGTCCCACCCCCTCCTATTCACCATTGTGTTGCCAGTGTCTGCTGCGAAATGAAAAGCGAAATGTCTCGAGATGACGTCGTTGCATGGTTTCGAATCTGCCTGGACAGTTTTAGCTTAGAGTGGACTGCTTAACTCTTAAAATTAGTTTAATCGCTTGTTAGCCGGAGCTCAGGAATTCCCGCTTGAATTGTCCCACTGAGCACCATTTAAAACAGTTTAACGCTAATTATATTATCAGAGGCATCTCAATTTGGCACACACAGCACTCACACCTACACAGCGGCTTTGGCCATTTAAAATGTATTTGCGTCACGTTTGGAAATTAATTTGAATTGGATTTTGACTTAACGCGGAGGTGTGGTCACGGATAAACATTCGCGTATCTGGTAAGTTGACAACTGCAGTTTAAACAACATCCGATAATTAACCGCACAACAGATCAGAGCAAATTCGTTGAATATTGAAACTAGAGGTGGAAGAAACCGAAGGCCTTTTTATCGATGTTCCTCTGTAAAAAAACCGGTTGTCGTGGTTATCGATGTTTGCTGTTAAATACAGTGCAGTGCAGATAACATAAACATAGCGACGAACAGTGGGTGTTTCATGTGCGTAATTCGTGGTACAAAAAGTAAAATAGGGAGTTCAGACAGAGGGTGTTTCTGCTTTAGCGACAAAATTCGGCTTGAGCGATTTGTACTCATATCCATGGTACAATTATACAAGGTAGTCCCGTCGGCTGCATAATCGTTCGGCTTTCAGTCCGTTAACGTGCGATATTGCTATCCCTTTCACCTGCACGTAATGCGAGTATCGTTAACGGAATAAATGTTGCCTTTGCCAACAACCTTGTATAGTTGTATCATTCTCAGATCGGCTAATAGTTTGACTAGCTTTGCGTTGGCTCCCAAATAGCTGGTGGTGATGGAGCCAGTGATAACAATGGAGAGCTCGTCGGAGTTCGTAATACTGTGGTTCTGCTAAAAAAACACTGCACAATCTTATCTTTGCGTGGACACGACCGGAAGGATCTCTATGTAGGGAGCGAAGTCCTACTCGTTTTGTTTCTTCTTCCAATGGTCTTCTCGAGATGCCCTGTCGTGGTATTGCTTTCTTTGGGTCAAGTCCCACAATAATGGGCAACAGCTTGGATTAGGCATCCGTTTTTATCTGCACTGACCTCCTGCAGGCGTTTTTGGGGTTTTCCTTCCATTTTTAAATTGTTGTTTCCTCACAGCTTCTGCACAAACACGCAGAAAGTCCTCCATAAGAAATACACACACGTGTAGGAAAGAAACGGAAAAAAAATCGCTAGAACTCGCTGCAGCTGAAAATGGGACTGCACTCACACAGTGTTGTTACTCAGTATTTATACCCGTTACTTGCAGAGTAAATGGAAGTCGGAAAGTAAATAGCAGGTAGAAGGAAGCGTTTCCGACCCCATAAAGAATATATGTACATACATATATTCTTGATCGCCGATCATATATAGAACGCTATAGTCGAGTACCCCGACTATCAGATACCCGTTACTCAGCTAATGGGACCAAAGGGTAATGGAGATATGCAAGCAGCACAGCAAGATTGAAATGCGCCCCATACCCGTGAACTCAATATATGGTTATGTGGGCGGTAGACAGATTTAAACGTTATGCGCGTTAGAGTGGGTGTGGCATACTATTTTTTGGATCAATCAATAGGTATTGACAAGACCAATACACTTCAGTTAAAATTTTGTATCTACCATGAAAATTGTGGGCGCCAAAGGTTTGCTCAGTTTGTGGGCGTTAGAGTGGGCGTGGCAAACTTTTTTTTTGATCAATCGATAGGTATTGTCAAGACCAATACATTTCAGTTAAAATTTTTTATCTAGCATAAAAATTGTGGGCGCCACAGGCCTGGTCGGTTTGAGGGCGTTTTAGTGGGCGTGGCATATTGGCGTAACAAACTTGCGCTGCGTACAAGGCTACGGAATCTAAATCTGAGATCCCATTTCTCTACCTTTGATAGTTTCCGAGATATCCGCGTTCATATTAACGATTTTTTGAAGTTTGTAGGCGTTTTGTGGGCTTTAAAGTGGGCGTGGCAATCGATAGGTATTGATGAGGACAATACATTTCGGTTAAAATTTGTATTCTAGCATCAAAACTGTGAGAGCAACAGTTTTGGGCGGCTTGTGGGCGTTGGAGTCGGCGTGGCATATTTCTGAAACAAACTTGCGCTGCGCAGGAATCTCAGGAATCTGCATGCCTAATCCCAGTATTGTAGCTCTTATAGTTTCCGAGATCTCAGCGCTCATACGGACAGACGGACATGGCTGGATCGACTCGGTTAGTGATCCTGATCCTTCTGCCTTTTACTTACTTTCCGACGAATCTAGTATACCCTTTTACTCTACGAGTAACGGGTATAATTATTAAAAGAATGATAATTCCAAGTAATATATGTGAAAAATCAAAACAACATTTTTTATCTATTACTACTATGGAGCTAAGGGTTACAGTTGTCCTATACGGCTCTTTCCGGGTAATACACTACTAGCAATAGAAACAAGACTTTTGGGAAGGTTTTGTTCCGATAGCTTTAAAACGGAGTGACTAGTTTGATACTGATCAAGAATATATATAGTTTTGGTGTTGGAAACGTCTCCTTCACTGCGTAGCAAAATTCTGACTGAAATCATTATACTTTCTGCAAGGGTATAAAAATAGTTCCAAGTCGCAGAACAAAAACCACTCAAACAACTAAAAATCACTTAAACTCTTTTGTAGTGCCTTTATTCATCATCGTTTTTCGGTGTGCTCGGCCATTATGCAACAGAGAAAATTATCTATGGACGTCATATTTTAAATAAAGACGTAACTAACTCTTTTAGTTTTGACTGGATCGCACTTAATTTTCTTTTACTGGGGTTTGAGGGATTTAGCAAATTTCGTTTTAAAGCCTCTTTTACTGGGTAGATATTATTTTTTATGAAGTTCTCCACATGGTTTTTCTAAGTATTTTCCATACACACACATGCGAAAAATTGGTATTCTGCCGGGCAGTGAGATCACTGGTGCGCTCCAAAGATTTATCACAAGGGCGGCCGTTTCTGCTCCAATTCTTCTCAACATTTTCTCCTTCGTATGCACATTGAGGTAAAAAAAATTCCCTGCAGCGATTAAACGTCCAACTCTCTTTTTCCTTTGGCTTACGGCTTAGATCCCGAAACTCTAGGTAATTAACTAATTAATCTCAAATACCCCTCGACTTCTTCACTCACCCAATCGGGCTTAGCACTGAGCTAAGATTTGTGACTACAAGCCGAGCTTTTACTTCCGTTTTTTTTCCGTTACTGGGATCAGATTTTATTATATATTATTATAGTATAGTATAGTATTATACGATCTACTAAATATATTCACTTTCGCCTTCCATAGTTTTGACATATTTTTTTTTTTTTATATATTATCTTATACTATTGGAAATATCTTTTTTTGTATTTTTAAATTTAATAATTATAACTGCAAGGGTATACAAAACTTCGGCTTGTCTAAGTTAACTTCCTTTCTTGTTTTTTGTCAAATAAGTAATTCCAAATAATTAAATTAAAGAAAAACTAAAACCGACTAAATTGGCCATTCAGATTGATGTGCTCATTCTATCTGCAAGCTACAATTCAGGATCAACAAAGTCGTTTGCTACTATAACCAAAAGGCTTAAACACAGTAAATCAGACGTTTTAATAATTTTGATGAATCTCCCGAATGAAATAAGAAAACAAGAATGAACGCTATAGTCGAGTACCTCGACTATCAGATACCCGTTACTCAGTTATAGGGACAAAAGGAAATTGGAGATATGCAAGCAACAAAGCGAGATTAAAATGCGCCACCTCAGTACCAGTCCAAACCTCATCGAGTAAAGACGTGCTATCAGCAGAACTCCGCGAGTACCAGCAGTTACAAATACAAAATTCAAACAATTTTTGTAAACACAAACAAGTGCTCAAAGAAAATTTCGAAAAAAAAACCCAATAACAAAAATCACATCGCAACCGTTACAAACGCGCACAAGTGCCTTGTGCAGCGGGCGGCAGCCCAGGCACAACAACAATGAATCGTCCACCGGACTTAGACTTCCCCCCCCTGTCTACAAGAACAGCACTATTCGAACCGAAATTTCTCACGATCACCAGAACGGACAATGAGACATTTGAAAAAGTATCACCATTCGTGATTAAAAAGGTCATTGACTTCACCTGCGGTGGCGAAGTGGAGTCTTGTAACAAGAATAGAAACGGAACCTTATTAATTAAAACCAAAGGCGCAAACCAGGCATATAGACTACTAAAGCTAACGCAATTCCACAACTTCACTGTTTCCGTAACCGAGCATGAAACTCTAAATTTCTCAAAAGGAGTCATCTACTCTAATGAACTTCGCAACATAGATGAATTGGATATACTAAACGAGCTTAAGTCGCAAAAGGTAACCAACATTGAAAAAATACGTATCATGAAGAACAATATTCTACAAGAATCAGGACTCATAACCGTCACTTTTGGATCAACAACTCTACCCGAAACCTTGATGATAGGATACGAGAGAGTTAGAGTTCGACCACATATTCCACGCCCACTGAAATGCCGTAACTGCCTGAAGTTTGGACACCCGACCAAATTCTGCAGAAGCCCCAAAACCTGCTCCAACTGTTCCGCAGAAGCACACACCACAGAGGACACCGAATGCGACAAACCTAAGTTTTGCATAAACTGCAAGTATGACATAAACAACCAATTCAATCACAGCCCACTAGATAAAACATGCCCCGCCTTTATAAAACAAAAAGAAATAACAACAATAAAAACCCTACAAAAAGTTGACCACAAAACCGCCACAAGAATATATAATATGCGCCACATCCATCAATCTACTCCGTACTCCAAGATAACGTCCACCAATCAACCTACGACCACTGTAAACGAAGCCCAAAAGACTACCAGCACCCAAGCACCTACCAGCACAAGCACCAACCGTCAGTTAAGGTCATACACCGACATCATGGATCACCAACCCACCACTTCGTCCAAACGCACCGTCATTGAAGAAATGGAGACTGAGATTTCATCAGATTCCACTACGACCATCCCAAAGAAGAAGATGACTGAATCCGACCGTAAGCTTAGAAGCCAAAATAATAATAAGACAAACCTAACATCAAAACCTTCTCTCAAAGCCAAAGATAAATCAGACAAATCAAAGCCTATAAATACTACCAAATTAGCCAACGAATTAAGTAGACTAGCCAATCACAACAGCTCTGAGGAAGAACTTTAAGTAGATATTTAAAAAAAAAAAAAAACTATTTAAATAATCACAATGGTATTAATCCTGCAATGGAACTGTAACGGTTACATAAACAATTACGACCAACTACAATTATTACTTAAATGTTATAACCCAAAAGCCATCTGCCTGCAAGAAACCCATTTACATTCCCTTAATAACATTCCCATCCCTATCAACTTCACGTTCATACATAAAAACACATCAAACAACTCCCACGGTGGAGTAGGAATTCTAATCCACAACTCAATTCAAAACGAACAAGTTAATCTTAACAACGATTTCGAATCTGTAGGAGTTATTATTCACTCCAAACAAAAGCTTCGACTCATATCCACTTACATTGCCCCAAACAAGAATTTTGAACTACGAAATTTAGAAAATATGTATGGTAATCCCAATGAAAATACCATCATAGCAGGTGACTTCAACAGCTGGCACCAAAGCTGGGGATCGCCTAACAATAATAGAAAGGGATGTACGATTTTTAAATACATTTCACAATCTAACCTAATTACCCTAAACGATGGCTCCCCAACCCATTTCTCAACTCACCATACAATGACACATGTGGACCTAACAATAATTACCCCGAACCTCGCCACTCAGACCAAATGGAAAACCGATCATGAACTCTTCGGTAGTGATCATTTTCCCATCCATATTAATCTTTTTGATAATGAAAATTCCAGTAAAAGCTATAAGATCCCCAGATACAAACTTGAAACCGCAAACTGGCCCCTCTTCACATCACTCACAGATATTTTTCACAACAAAAGGCCACCAAGCAGCCAAATAAATCAAGAAGCCGCCAACATTATAAAAATAACCCATCAAAGCGCAAGTACAGCAATCCCGCAATCAAACCCAACATTTAATAAAAAGAAAACCGTCCCTTGGTGGAACACATCCCTCGAACAACTTAGAACCAATAAAAACCAATCATGGTACTTGCTAAGAAGAAGTATATCTCTCGAAAACATCATACAGTTCAAGAAAAACAAGGCTTTGTTTAGAAGAGAACTGAAACAAGCAAAACGCAGTTCTCTGCAAAAGTTTACTGCAGAAATAAACCCCAATTCAAGTCCCTCAAAAATCTGGGCAAACATCAATACATTCTGCGGAAGAAAAACCAGAAATGATATACACTGCTTAACATCCCCCTCAGATCCATCTATAAACATTATAAATTCAGAATCCATAGCCCAAGTCCTCGTCACTCACTGGTCAGAATCGTCTTCGGACTCTAAATTTACCGATTTATTCCAAACTAATAAGAACAGAGTCTACTCAATGAATCTATCCCACAATCCATCACCGGAAGCAATTTCAATAGAATCTAAAATCACATTGATTGAGTTCAAAGCAGCTCTAAACAGCCTCAATGGAAAGACACCCGGTCTTGATCGCATTTCATACCCAATGATTAAAAACTTCAGTCAGCCATTAACAAGCCGGTTAATAAATTTATACAACAAAATCCTAGACAGCCACATCCCTCAGCAATTTAAAAACAGTATTGTAATACCGATCCATAAACCCAATACTCCCAAAACATCTGTAACCTCGTATCGTCCCATATCGCTCAACCCTTGTCTTTCGAAGGTGCTAGACAAAATCATAGCAAACCGACTCTGGTGGCTTGCAATAAACTGCAAACTCCTCGATAGTCGACAGCTCGGTTTTCGAAAGGGCATGTCCGTATCTGAATGCCTAACTCTGTTAGACTACCAGACTACCGCAGCCCTATCAACCAGAAGCCACATTTCAATTATTAGTCTCGACTTCGAAAAAGCTTACGACAAAATAGGAATTCACGCAATAATAGACGAGTTACAGAGATGGAGAATCGGACCAAAATTGTTGAATTACGTAAAAAACTTCCTAACCAATCGCAAGATAAAAGTCAAAGTAAGAAACACTTTTTCTGAAGACAGACCACTGTACAATGGGATCCCTCAAGGTTCACCACTGTCCGTAATTCTCTTTTTAATATCGTACAACAAACTATGCCGCACCATTGAAGTCCATAGGGGATTCAAATTCTTTTCCTATGCAGACGACTTCACTATACTGAAGAAAATTCATAAAAATGTAAACACAATGTCTATAAACAGCCTATTCACAGACATTTTAAGCTGGTGTGACTACTCAGGAGCGAAACTCTCTGTGCAAAAATGCAAACATCTGCATATCTGCCGGAAACATAGGTGTAATTTTACAATCACATCACAAGCATACCCTCTTAACCAAGCTAATTCCCTCAAAATCCTTGGCCTTACCATATCAAGTAGATACAGGTGGAAAGATCACATAGACACTCTGGCAGTAGAACTATCAAAAAGACTCAACATAATTAAATGGTTAGGCAATCGTAGATACAACTGCGACACCAGATCTTTAATAAATACAATAAACGCTCTTGTTATGTCCAAGATCGACTACTGTCTCCCATTTTATGGGAATTGCCCTCTCTCTTGTCTAAGAAAACTCAAAACTATCTACCATGCAGCTTTAAGACTTGCTTTTGGAGCACCACGCACAACTCCAATCAACAACCTTCTGATTGAATCCGATATTACACCTATCGAGATTAGAATTGAGCTGACCACTGCGCGGATTTGTAAGGTTTTCACCTTCGCCAAAAATACGCCACTTCAAACCGTCCTCCAAAAGATAAAGAACGCCAAAAGAACACCCAGAATACCTTCAATCCTACATAAAGCGTTAAAATTCGTTCTCGAAAATGGAATAAACTGCACTTCAGTTAAATTAAGGAAACAGAAACATCCACCATGGTCCTTCTCAGAAAATAAAATAGACTTAACACTACATTACACAACTAAATCGAACACTCCTACAACTGTTTTCCAAACAAAATTCCTCTCCCTTAAAGATCTCTACAATAACTACGCATTCATATACACAGATGGCTCCAAATCTGGGCACGGAGTATCTTATAGCATCACTACGGACACACGCATCATTAAAACAGCACTCCTACCAGCACACAGCTCTATCTTCACCGCAGAAGTGGCAGCTATTTATGCAGCGTGTGATTACGCTGTATCACAAAAGAAGAGATTCGTCATTTGCTCGGACTCACTATCGTCACTGCAATCAATAGCCAACATAAGCAAAAAATCCTTCTACACCGCTCGAATCAGAGATATTCTCAACAGCCATCAGTCGTACATAAAATTATTGTGGATCCCAGGACACACAAACATAACTGGAAACGACACAGCTGACGCAGCTGCCAAGGAAGCTCACTTATTTCCACACCTCTACGAAAACAATTACAACTACAAGGACACACAACTATTTATCAAACAGAAATTCAAAAAACAATTCGCATCTCTATGGGAAAACACTTCAGACCACTATAAACTTATAAACCCCAACAAACTATCTCTAAAAAATTACAACATTAAAGCAAACGATATTAATCGCCAAGACTTGATTAAGTTTTCAAGACTAAGGCTGGGACACTCCAAGCTCACGCACGAACACATAATAAACAAACAAGCAGCACCGCAATGTGAGCGCTGCAACACATCGATCACAATCAAACACATTCTTCTAGAATGTCCTCTCTTTCTATCGGAAAGAAACAAGTTCCTACCCTCAAATCCATCTGAACTCCTTACCCCCAACACCCTAAATATCAAAGCTTCCATGAATTTTCTAAAGGCAATTAAATTATACCATGCAATTTAAAACCTAGACATAGTCTAAATGTAAAAATGTAAATTGTAATATATCAAACGTAGCTTAAGGCCACAGTAGCTATAGCTACAAAAGCATAGGCTATAGGCAATTTCAATTGCCTTTTAGCCTGAGAATAAATAAATAAATAAATAAATAAATAAAATGCGCCACCTACAGGCGGTAGACAGATTTAAGCGTTATGGGCGTTAGAGTGGGCGTGGCAAATTTTTTTTTGTGTCAATCAATAGGTATTGACAAGACTAATACATTTCAGCTAAAATTGTTTTCTAGCATGCAAATTGTGGCGCCACAGGCTTGGGCGGTTTGTGGACATTAGAGTGGGCGTGCCAGTGTAACAAGCTCGGCCTTAGTACGAAGCTAATCTACATCTGAAATCACAACTCTAGCTTTTATAGTTTCCGACGTATTAGCGTTCATACGGACGATTTGTTTTAGGTCAATCAATAGGTAATAACGAGAGTAATACATTGAGCTAAAATTATGATTAGCTTTTTATACCCGTTACTCGTAGAGTAAAATGGTATACTAGATTCGACGGAAAGTTTGTAACAGGTAGAAGGAAGCGTTTCCGACCCCATAAAGTACATATATGTATATATTCTTGATCAGGATCACTAGCCGAGTCAATCTAGCCATTTCCGTTACTCGTTGTTCAATCGCCTTCTATGTTGCGCAAATCAATCGTCTTTGCATCGGTTTCAGTTTCACTTCTTTTTCGTCGTAGCAAAAGAATTTCGCAATTTCTTCATACTTGCAACCCTGCATCTCATTCTTACACACGCTGTTTTCTGTTTGAAAATTCTTCTGTTTGTCTCACTTGCCCGAATTTTAATGTTTTAAGGTATTGTTACTTTACCGCACAGCACAAAGTTATTTACACTTTTAAGCACACATCTCAGTTTAGTGACTAAATAATCCCGGTTTAGCCCCTACAATTGTGTCCCCTGGATTTCGTTTAATGACAATGACGATGACGTCTTGATATTAGCATTACAATGGTTTTATAGTATGACTTGCGGCTTTCTTAATTTATAAGCTCACAAAATTGTGGCAAGTTGCTTCTGTAGCGAACGAGATCCTGACACTTGAAACCGACAGACTTTCCGGTTAATTTTTACTCGGTCAGTTTTTTGTGTTCTCGGCTCTTTTAGAAACCACATCAACTCCGTTTTCCTCTTTCCTTTTGTTCTTCTGGTTTTCTGACTGGGCACATGTAATGCCGGTTGCTGCTGTTGGATCTAAAAAGAATTTGTTTGCAAAACTTGCAGTTGCCTTGAAGCACCCGAATTTGGCAGTAAAATTGACGTTTCCTCCTTGTGGGAGTCGTTAATTTCTCGACTAAGTTGGCAGTACCAGTGAAGACATTAACTTTGGGATATTGTCCAAAGAGCATGGTACAATATTCCAATTGGAACATGTCGCAAGCTAATATCCTCCATGCCAAGAAGAATGGAGAAAGTCCTGCAAAATAATGGCGGATATACCGGCTATTGCTGCCAGATACTTAGTTTAATATAAAAAAGACCAAACAGAGAAATATTGATTTATTTTAAACATTTATCTTTGTACACCTATTATTGTGTCCAGCCAAAATTGGAGGATTTAAGGAAATATTTAATTTAGTTGTTTATAAAGGGTTTGGAAACCTTTGTTACTTTTTGTTTAAAGACAATTAATATAAGTTTTGAAAAAAGTTTGTTTTGTTGAGATTAGAGATGATAAGAATTAGAAATAAAAAGTTAAAAATGAAAAAAACACACCTATTATATAGTCCATGAGTGTAAGCTGCCCAAATGCTGTACAATGCAATAGTAATATAATTTTACACAAAAATATACATTTAAGCCAAATTAATAAAAAAATGTTAAGCCCAAATCTAACTTTAAAATTTACTAATAGTTATATACAAAATTGTATAAAACTATATTTTAAATAATTCTGAAATTTAAATAAATTTATTTTAAGAAAACCTTTTTTTTTCTTAAAAATACACGATGTTAGTTATATTTTTGAGAAAGCAAAAAAAATAATATAATATCACGATGTAAATATTTATTTTTATTCAAAAAATATCGATATTTTGATATATAAATATATTTTTTACATACCGAGCTTCTTTGCAGTGTCTTTTTTTCAGCTAGGTAACCGTGTTGCGATTCCGAGCAGCTTTCTGCGCGCAACGCGGCCTCCTGTCTGCCCACGAGAAAGCGCGGGAAAATGATCACCTACGGCCATTCCCCATTATACGGAAACGGCCCGCTTTATATCCTTCGGGTAACCGAGTCGCACTTCCGAGCCGCTTACTCCGCGTGACGCGGGGCCCCTCTCATTTTCCCAAAAATTCAGGCGGTAACAACCAGTCCGCTTTTCGTCCCTGTATTTCTACAAATTGAACTGTAGAGGACCCTGGCCGGACGGAGTCCTATTCCAACAATAGCTTAGTTATAAAAGTGTTCGATAGAGGGATAGCATCAGGCGCCACATGCTAATGCAAACTGGCGCAACCTAGCATTAATTGCTTAACTTAGCTTATAACTGTTTAATGGAAGTCACAGTTTTAGTACGGTCAAATGAAGATTTATAAAGATAACAAATTTTCATTTTCATTTTCACTTTTACAAAATCTTTAAACAAGTGACGCCTACCTGGTACAATATTGCGCTGCTTAGTGACCCCCAGAATCTGCATGCAAAATCCAAACTTTTTGCTTCATAGTTTCCGAGATCATACTGATCATGACATGGCTCGACAGTCGACACGGATATTGATCCTGATCAAGAATACTACTGCGGGCAAAAAGTAACGTTAACTTTTGTGGAAATCACTTTCATACCCCTTAAAAAATCTTTAAAGTATACAGAGAAAACAAGATTTTTTAAAAAAGTCATTCTAAAATAAAAAGTTTAAAAAAAATTTTAGTCATACAAATTATAATACTTTGAATTTTAAAATACTTTGTGAGTACAAATGTTTTTAAAAGTCATACAAATAATTTTGCAATGACTCAGTAAAATGCCACATAATTAAGTTTTCAAGTTTGGTATATTTTGTAAAAATATGCGTTTTGAACTTCAAAGATAAAATTGGAAAATTTTAAACACAGCAAGAGAGAACGCTATAGTCGAGTACCTCGATTATCAGATACCCGTTACTCAGCTAAAGGGACCAAAGGGAAATGGGATATGCAAGCAGTAAAGCAAGATTGAAATGCGCCCCATACCCGTGAACTCAATATATGGTTATGTGGGCGGTAGACAGATTTAAACGTTATGCGCGTTAGAGTGGGTGTGGCATACTATTTTTTGGATCAATCAATAGGTATTGACAAGACCAATACACTTCAGTTAAAATTTTGTATCTACCATGAAAATTGTGGGCGCCAAAGGTTTGCTCAGTTTGTGGGCGTTAGAGTGGGCGTGGCAAAATTTTTTTTTGATCAATCGATAGGTATTAACAAGACAAATACATTTCATTTAGCATGAAAATTGTGGGCGTCACAGGTTTGGGCCGTTTGTGGGCGTTAAAGTGGGCGTGGCAAACTTTTTTAGGGTCAATCGATAGGTATTGATGATAACAATACATTTCAGTTAAAAATTTTATTCTAGCATCCAAACTGTAGGAGCCACAGTTTTGGGCGGCTTGTGGGCGTTAGAGTGGGCGTGGCACTCTGCTGAAACAAACTTGCGCTGCGTAAGAAGGTCAGGAATCTGCACGCCAAATCTCAATTTCCTAGCTCTTATAGTTTCCGAGATCTCAGCCCTCATCCGGACAGACGGACAGACGGACTTGGCTAGATCGACTCGGCTATTGATCCTGATCAAGAATATCAAACAAAAACACCTCTTAAAGAGGTAAAAAGTAGTGACGAACGCGCCTTTAACAAAAATTTCTGATATCAACAATTGTGACGAAAAATGATATTACATTCGATAAAATAAATAAATTATATTAAATTTATGATTTCGAAAAAATTTAAAAAATCTAATAAGAATATTTTTCATCAAATTGGTTTTTTTCTTGCTTATTCCAATAAGTATGAAATATTTCGTATACGCAGCTGAAACGAGTTGCACTATTTATCGCTTAATATCTTCCAAACGGTAATTTTTAGGGCAAAAAGTGTTATAGATCAAAAGTTAAGGAATTTCAAGGGCTATATGATTTGAAATTTAAAAAGAAATCGTTCGACTCAATTTCAAGAAAATAGTCAAAAAGTGGTTTTAAAAAATAACTTTTTGTCATAACTCGAAATCTATTATATTCAGAAACTTTACTATATAAAGGGTATTTAGCAAATTAAATTAACTTTCAAGAGATATATAGCACGTTTCTTTAACATTAGTTGTTTAGATACTATAAGCATTTAAAATTTGGCTTTTTTTTGATTTTCCGGGTTTTTTCAAAAGTCGTAGAACAAACGTTTTCTAATTCAAGCTACTTTATACGCCCATAGGGTTTCCAAAACCCTAAAACTAAGATGGGATGGATACAAACCCATAAAGGGACAAACATTTTCATTTTGCTAAGAAGAAGAAAATCTTGTTTTTTGAATTACTTTTGAATTGGACATCGGTTTTCAACAAATGAGGTGTCATTCGACGCGTATTCTTAGTAAGAATAAAACTAGCTAAACAGCCGGGGGCTTTTATCCCCACCGTATCCAGCAGCTCCAATATTCTACATTTTTACTTTTACACTTTCACCGCTTTTTCTCCCAAACAAATCTATATTTCGAAAGTCTTGGTATGCAATCTTCTTCTTTCGATTGGTGTATCACTCGTTACGATCGGACCATAATGGCAGATTTTCAATTCTGCGGCTACATCTATATATATATATAGTTGTCTTCGCACGCTCTCTTGCGCGCTTCGCCACTACGTGTACTGCCGTCCACAGTGATATATATCTTATGGGGTCGGTAACGCTTCCTTCTGCCTGTTACATATTTTCCGACAAATCTAGTATACCCTTTTACTCTACAAGTAACGGGTATAATAATTGCGACGGTGCAAACTGTGCGTACATATCTCAGGGTACATAACCTAAAAGCCTGCAGCCCGAGAAAGGTACCACTTTTAAATGCCAGACATATTTCTAAGCGAATGAAGTTTTGCTAAGGATCGTGCAAATTGGTCACCCGATCAGTGGAGGAATATTTTAAGGTCAGGTGAGAGCAAGGTGATTATGTTTGGTGGAAAAGGATCCAGATCGTATTTTAAACGTCCTAAGAACTCGGAATTCAAGCCCCAGCACACCACAAGGACCATAAAGCATGTAGGGCGTAGTGTGATGGTATGGGCCTGCTTTTCCTATTACGGAGTAGGCCCGATACATTGAATCAAGGCCATCATGGATCAGCACGTATACTTGGATATCATGGATACCATTATGCTACCTTTCGCAGAGTATGAAATGCCGCTCGTGTGGGTCTTCCAACAAGATAATGACCCAAAACATACCACCAAGAAGGCAAAGAAAAGGTTTGGGGACAACTCGTTAACCGTTATGGAGTGGCCTCAGATGTTATTTCTAATAAAGGATACACCACAAAGTATTAAATGAAGAATATAAACATAGATTTAACAGTTCAATATTGTTATGATCGAGAGGAAGAACAAGTATATATATGTGTTCAATTTAAATTAAAAATCATTTTAGCCACCAGCACTGGTGAATTACGATAGAAAAAGAAGCTCAATTATATATTTCTAAAATGGGACACAGTGAACGAAATGCATCACTTCCTTTCCATCTAGTTCTTCTATTTTCCGTTTACCTTCGCAAAGCTTCGGTAGCGTCATGCAATAGTATTGGTGTTAGCATGCGTCCTGTATATTTTAAAAACCTGTGTTGATAAATACTCCACACATTTTATTATTTTATAGATTTGGTATAGAATAAACTTCAAAAATGTGAAGTGCACTCGCCTAACTTCAAAAATATAACTTAATAAACTCCCTTAAAAGGCTAAAGAATATTGAATTTAAAAAGCGTGCACACAATGCACATTTGCGCGTTTGCACAGTTACACATAGAGTCTGTAGATAGCGTCTGAGCGTCATGCAAGAAAAAAAAGAGCGAGTAAAATGGAACAACTTTTGCTAAGTTTTGGCATTAGCCGTTTAGATAAATAATTAAAAGGTGAATAAGCGACAATGTTTTAATAAAAAGTTGAGCTATTTATCCGTTCTCCCTTAATTGATGGATATGTGTTTTTAGACGCCGGAATACAGTACCACCACTTGAATCACATTGATGATCGGGACATTGGTGACGATATATCCCATATAGGTGATCGCGTCGATTTCAGACTAAAATTGTTCGGATGGGGAGTATCTAAGGTAGGATTGAAATTTAAAAAAAATGGCCATACATGAGTATGTATGTATACTACGTATTGTTAACGTAGTGCAACTAGCCTGAGGATTCCACAAAAAGTAATTTTTGGAGTAGTGGTAAGTACATGACTCTGCAATTAGTTATAACTATGGTTAATATCTTAATAATTAGACTCTCATTAAATTGCTACACCAAAGCGCATATAAAACAGCAATTCTGAGTTTCTACAAAGAGCACGATTTTCTTACTGATTCTAAGCGAGAAAATCTTGTTCAAATCGTGTTGGAAATCATATTTCTTAACAGTAAGAGCCTCGGTCCAAGTGATTTCAGTGTTATTTTTCATAGAATTCTAAAAGTATTTCCAACCGAAAAGACCTTTCTGTAAGTTAAATAATCCTTTTTTTGTATATATTTTTAAATACAATTGTTATCCCAACAGGACTATTATTATATACCACGTCCGTGGAAAAAACCCCCTTAGCGGGAAAAACTGTATACAAAATACACCAAACACCAAACATAGGGATGAAAAAATTCGACAAAAGACAATTACCCTCAAAACGTTAATAACGTCGAAATTACAGAGGTTCTAGATGTTTCCGGGAAAACTTGCTAGGCCCTTAAATTGGGATATATGGTGTCGTTTATACCAAACTTAGACCAATCGCATCTAAAAACTCTGGAGCAATTTCGATTTCCTTGTTGAATGGCCACTTTTAAAGGACGCACGTGCCCCAGACTCAGTAAATATTGCATAAATATAAGTGTCAAAACAAAAAAAAAAGTAAAACGCTCCATACATATTTAAAATGCTAATTCTCTCTGTGTACTGAAAATCAAGAGAGAGGGCTACAGTCGACTATTATATACCCTTTAATCAGCTAATTTTTTTTTACTAATAGTCACTTTAAATAATTGTTGGCATGCCGATAGATACTAAAAGTTAACATAAAATAAAATGTACAATTAAATAATCTTTGAAAATGTGGCACTCGGCTGCAACAAACTTGCTCTGCGCATGAACCCAGAGATCTTTCATGCGAAATCCAAACTTTCTAGCTTTTGTACCTTCCGAGATCTTAAGGATGAACAGACCGAAAGACGGATATGGCTAGATCGACTCGCCTCAAGACTATATGTACTTTATAGGTTCGGAAACGATTCCTTCTACCTGTTACATACGTTCCAACGAATACAATCATGCAAAAATACCTCTCAACGATGTGAGAACAAAAGGACGGTCTAACCTTCAGCGTACAAAAGTTTTGATGTCAAGTTTTGTGGCGAAAAGTGATTTTAAATTCGTCTAAATAAGTACACTTTCAAAAAAGTATTTATTTATTGCGCTGCAATAAAAAAAGGACCGTGTGACTAAAAGATTTAATATTTTTATACATATGACGACTTCTGGTTATGGTATTGAGGTATATTAATTTACAATCTAACAATTAATTGACTTTTTAAAAACTTTTGATTTCGAACAAAAGCATACAAAAACTGATTTAATGAATTCAAAAGTGACCGACGCTCGCTTGAAGACGACAGTCGGGAAGGTGATGCAAAAACAGTTGTGCCAGAGAACATTGATCCAGTGCGTGAACTGATAATGCAAGATCGTCATGTGACATACATTGAGATAGCGGCATCCTTGCGTATTTATTCCACCAGCATACATTCGTTATTGCATGAGCACCTGGCCGTCATCCAACGAAACTTGTTTGTGGAAGAAGTTCTTCTTCTTGTCTTCGGAGAATTTCGAAAAACGATCAAGAGAAGACGGGTCACTGTGCACCATGACAATGCAAGCTCTCACACATTAGCTCAATGCAGCTCCTTTTTGACCGGCCAAAACGACGAATTGATGGGTCATCCGCCGTACAGCACTGTCTTGGCACCCAATGACTTCCCGCACATCAGGACAAGAATGCGTAGTCAACGATTTTCGACGCCAGAAGATGCTGTTGAAGCGTTCAAAAACCGTGTCTTGGAGGTGTATCAATCGGAGTAAATAATGTGCTCGACAATTGGTTTGAGCGCATCCCAATGTGTATAAATCTTTCTGGAGAATTCTTTAAAAAACAATAAAACCATTGACCATTGACCATGAGATAAATATTCCCCTTTTCTTTATTAGGCCAGAAATATACATATATAGCAACCCGCTAACCAGTTGGAAACTAAAATCACCATGAAGAGTATTTTCGTGTCCACTCCTTTTGTTATCTCTGGTACTCTTTATCCTATTGGAATGCGTTCCCCAACCGACGACAAGGTACGCACACTCTCCCGGTGCGCTTCGCCACCACGTGTACTGCCGTCAGCGGTGACATAATGTTGAGGGTTTCTCTTTTCCTTCTAAAATGTAATTAAGCAGATAGCTTGAACCAATTTTTAAGAAAAAACTTTAGTGCGAAGGTTAGTGCTCACGATTATCAATTTTTAAATTGTATGCGTGAGTGTAAAAAATCTCGTCCTCCCCATATAAAATATTATAAGCAACAGTTGTTACTGCAATGCAACTGTCAAACCTGAGCTTTTGAGAACGCTTTTGTACACATTCTGGGGTAGAGGGATTAAGCTCCGAAGTGTAAGCTTTAAAACAAATTTTCCATCCAGTGTATTTGCAACTAATCCGATTCAAATCACGGGTCCTAGATTGTTTATTTTCTTATTTGTGAAACGGCCGCTGCCTACTCCGCAAGACTTATCAAAAGGCCCAGACGACTTTGCGGAAACGAAAGTGATTATTAGAATATTGGAATTCGCTCTTTTATCATTTGTTAAAAAATTTCACGGGTCTCAAACATCGAATGCCTGAATGCGTTAATGCGAATTTGAATTTCGCAGTGTCCCAAACGACTCATTTACTCTGATTCTCAGCCTTTGTTCTGCGAAAAATCGATTCCAGTTATCCTGTGCCAGTGTGCTGTCATATTCCCGAGCTTTCGCTTTCGTATTGTAGTGAAAGCAAGCTAGAGCGACTTGCCTTTCGGTCCAGGTGTAATGAGTTCAGAGTAGAGGACGTTGTTTTCGCCAGGGTTCTCGCATGAGCCAAGATGATTGTTACGTCCGCTTCTGGCTTGGATAGCACTCCGACGTTAGGTACGTATACGGACCACCCAAAGCACTCCTTTCTGACCTGACCTGTCGATCTAAATCATCAGGCACCGTCGAGGTGACCACGCTGCTGGGCGCCTTTTTCGGCGTCCTCGTGCTGCTGCTCCTGCTGTTCCTGTACATCAGTCGCAAGTGCTGTTTCCATTACCGCCATGCCATCAACTGCTGCGACGAGCGCCACCTGGCGGCGAAGTGCGTGCAGAAGATCAGTGAGTACAAAAGACTGGGCGGGACTGGGACGTTTCCCAGGTGTGCTGACTCGAGCTGACCGGTTATTGTCCTTCCAGCACGGAAACGGCGCTACGAGAACACCAGTTCCGACTCTGAGGAGGATATCCTGCGGCGCCTGCGGTGGCACCAGCAGCACCAGATGGGCGAAAAGCCGGGCGGCTACGGACTGGGGATCAGTCAAGCGAATCCGCTGACAGCACAGAGCTTCAACTACCACCAGACCGGAGCTGACCTGCAGCGGGTGACGGTGACGCGTGACCCCTTGGCTACCGCCGAACGGGGCAAGGTCGGGATACCGTCTTCGCACAGCGAGTGCAGCTCGAACGACTCCATGGAGGCCTCCGTGGACAGTCATACTGGCATCCTTATGGCCGTGAGCAAAGGTAAGGCTTCCGGGGTCAGGGGCAGCTAATTGACATGCGTCTCAATGAGTCTTGACTTCTTGACAGTCACAACCCCTCACCCGGCAACATCTTTCCGTAATCCGTGTGCAGAACACCGAGCCAAGACGCAGGCTCTTAGGTACCAACACAGGGCCGAGATGGCTGCTCCACTCAAAGTAGAAAAGGAGCGGGACAATGTGGTGGTGGTTCCGATCGGCAGTACCTACAGCACCAGCAACAACAACTCAAGTACTACCACTAACAATAATACCAGCAACAACAATAACGATGACGTAAGTGGTAATAAATTCAAAGGTTTCCCAGCAAATATCTTCCAACCGGAAAAAATCTCAGTAAACCCTCTTAAACTAGGTAGTCACTCGACAAACTAACCAACCAAACGAAGAAAATTACTAACTCACTCGGGGGTGACTCGGAAACCTCTTTGGGCGAAGTTCTCATTTCGCCGAGATCTTTATGCCTCTGCTATAAATAAAGCGTATGTATCAGGTAGCAGTAAGCGATTCAGATTCTAGAGATACCTGCGCAGCTTAAGTTGGTTTCTGTAAAGTGCCCAGTCTAACGCCCACAAATCTGGTAAACAAATTTTAACATAAGTGTGTTGGTTTCATCTATACTTAAAAAAAACTTTGACAGCCCACAGATTTGAGTTTTGAATAATCGTCAACAGATTGGCAAACTATCGATTGACCTAAAAAAAGTTTCTCATGCCCACAGTTTTGAAGATTTTTATACCCGTTACTTGTAGAGTAAAAGGGTATATTGTATTTGGGGAAAAATGTTCATAGGTATAAGGAATCAGGACCACTGTCTGTCTGTCCGTGTGAACGCTGTGAGATTTAAGATTTACACTCCTTACCTTCGTACGCATCGCAAGTTGGCTCCTACAGTTTAAGTGCTAGAAAAAAATTGTTTCCTGAAATGAATTTTTCTCTTCATTATCTATCAATTTCCCTAAAAAAAACGCCACTCTAACACCCACAAACCGCCCACAAATTTAAAAAAACGTTCATATGAACGCTGATATCTCGGAAACTATCAAAGCGTTCCCACTCTAACGCCCACAAACCGCTCAAAACTGTGCCCACGGTTTTTTTGTTACCCACATTACCATATGTACAATGTACATTGTACATTCACGTACTGGCTATCTCGCTTTGCTGCTTGTATATCTCCATCTTCCCTTTGCTCCCTTTAGCTGATTAACTGGTATTTGATAGTTATTCCTTTTTTTCTATAAATTTGTACCTTTTCCAAGCTTTTTAACAAACAAGGTTGGAAGCTAACTTCCGCCAGCAGATGTTTATATACCCTTGAAGGTCTATCCTATAGGGGCAACGTATGTCCAGGGCTTTCCGATTCTTAGAAAATTAAAAAATATTCACCAAAACATATATTTCTGTCCAAGTTTGAAGTTTCAGAAATCTCAGCTTATACAGACGAACATGGCTAGATCGACTAGGCTAGTTATTCATTTGTACTTTACATACTTTGCGAAGAATCTTATACACCTTTTTACTCAAAGAGTAACGTGTATAAAAATAAAACCAACATTTTTTTTATTAATTACTTACGTATCAGAATAACTTTCAGAATCCACCAATACTGACATCGAAATATAGAATAGGCCTAATATCTAACTCTGAATTTGTTTTACAAAAACCACAAAAAACAATATACCTTTTTTAATCCCGGAGTTGTGATTTACCAAGAAAGTAAGGAAGCTATGACCCCAACAATTTTTTTAAATAAGTAATCCTCCTTGGACTGCGGTTCATTTAGATTCACAATGCGAAGTTATATGTTGGTCAATCATAGTCACGCTAAGAACTCGCGTTCCATCGGGGATGTTCAACTCGCGGTATCGGGGACTGACCTGCTATAAAAACAATTACAGATTTCTGTCAATTTTATAAGAATGCCTTTTATTTTGAAAACACTTAAACTCGTTTAAAAAACTACTTTGCTTTTATAGCAAAACACGCAACTTAGAAAATCAATTACAATAGAACCAGGGGCCTGCTGTTCTGGACTATTACCAAAATATTTTTTCTATTTTAACACTAACTAAATGGAACAAAAAATATAAGAACAGAAAAGTCAAATTTTCGTTAATAGGAGTGTAACAATTTATATTTTTAAAGTCCCGATTGTAAGTGATTTCTAGTTCTCTCCATGACTACGTATATGTACAATGTAAATTATACAATGTACATATGTTCATATGTATAACCCCACTGGCTAATGCGCACTACTCTGCTCTTTGCAGGAACCCCTGTTTGACACCAGCGATCTTCGCTCGATTAAATCGGATGACCTACTGGTAGGGGTTGACCCCAAGGGCACAGCTGTTCAGCGCGGACCCATCGAGTTAGAATTGTCATTGCTGTACGACGCCCCCATGCGGAAGATGACTGTGCACGTGATGCAAGCCAGAAGCATTCCGCCTTTGGGCAGTGGTCAGCCCACCCACACGCAGGTGCGGATGCTGATGCTTCCCAGCAAGAAGCAGAAACTCAAGACCAAGATCCGCAGCGGCGAGAACCCTCAGTACATGGAGAGCTTCCTGCTGCACCGTGTTAACCCGGAGGAAGTGAACAACATGGGCCTTCGGGTGCGGCTTTACGGTTGCGAGCGGCTACGCAAGGAGCGCCTGATTGGGGAGGCGTACGTTAGCTTCGCGACTGTGGATCTGGAGCTGGAGACGAACCTGTGGCTGCCACTTGAGCCCCGTAACACCTCCTCGGGTCTGGGTTCCACCAGCGACCTCATGAGCTTGGCGCGGTCGGAAAGCGCAGGCTCCACTTCGTCCATGCAACACGGGGGCGTCTCCGAGTTGCTGCTGGGGCTAAGCTACAACGGGGTCACCGGAAGGCTGAGCGTAGAAATCATCAAGGGCAGCCAGTTCCGCAGCTTGTCGCTTAACAAGGCACCAGACACCTACGTAAAGATGGTAATGGTTAGCAGCATAGGCCAGGAGATATCTCGGGCTAAAACTTCAACACGTAGAGGCCAGCCCAACCCGCTCTTTAAGGAGACATTCGCCTTCCAGGTGGCCCTGTTCCAGCTCAACGACGTCACTCTGATGATCTCCGTGTACGCCAAGCGGCACATGAAGAAGAACGAGATGGTCGGCTGGTTCAGCCTCGGCCTGAACTCGTCCGGATCGGAGGAAGTGGCCCACTGGGCTGATGTGTGCGAGATGCCCAAGGGCGAGATGCTGGCCCGCTGGCACGTTCTGGTGGACTCCTGATTCGAGCAGCTGGGCCAGCCCTCTGGACGCAGCGGAAAGACCCTCCGGAAGCTGGGCCTGACTGCGTTTAAGGACCGGTCCCGCGAGAAAGATTTGAGAAAGTCGTGCCTGGAGGACGATGGTGCTCAATTCCCTGCAGACAATGCGGTTGCAGTCGATATTGAGCCGGGCCTGGAACTGGACTTTGTTTGAAGCAAAGGTCGGTGTTTGTGATTTGTTTTTACGAGGGTCGATTCACTAACGATGGCTGGTGTTGTCGAGTGTTTAACCCTGGATGAGACCGACCAAATGGTTTGGATCATCTGATCAATCTAGCCTACACTGGGCCATAAGTATTTGTAGTTTGGAATCAATTTGGCACACATTTTGTTCATAAAATGTGAGAAATATGAAAAACTAGAACGGAATAACAGAATTTTGAAATTTTATACGCAATGGTATGTGGCACGTTAAGTGCAAGTACAATGCCAGTACATAAATTACTACTCAAAATTTGAATTTTATGATTGTTTGTGATAAAGAATACTATTTGAATAACCTGAGGTGCGAAAAGAGTACGCATATGTACGTTTGTGCGTCATTTACAGATAAGTGACGAATTTTTGTAATTAACCTTTCTGCATCTTATACTTAAATATTAAGCCCGGCATAGGCTGCCCAAAGTCTGTTAAGACTAGCACTTTTTTAATACAGAAAATATGAAAACCGAAAATACATACATACATAGGAACAATTGTAGTTAATACTTACATAAATACCTAAATACATCATACCTGCAAACTTACACACATAAATTAAAACAACTAACTCTTGCTATTTTGATCAAGAGCCATGCTCATGTTCCAGTTTTGATATCCAGAGAAAGACGAAGAAGTATCAGTACCTTAGAATTCAAACGCACAAGATATCTTCTACATCAGGAGAACAGTTGGCAAAACAAAGTTGATACAAATATTGGAACATACAATGCAATACATGCATGTGGATTTTATTAGAGCTTTATTTCGAATTAGGCATTGGACAACTGAGCTGGAAACTTAGGGTCCTTAGATTGAATAACCGACGACTTGGTCGGTATGGTTGGAATATTTAAAGCTCTCTTAAGTGTGAGCGTTTTGTTTCAGCATTGAACAGCGTGAATTACGTAAGTTTAACTTATAAAGAGAGATAATTGAAAGCTTTAAAAAATACCTAAACTAATTTATTTTATAACTCAAGTTAAATCGAAACATAAAAAACAAGAACTATTCAGCTATTGCCATGCTCATGCAATAAACTTAATATTCATTTGTATGTAAAACCATATGAATGTATTTTGCAATTTATAGTATTTATATCTTTTTAAAATCTGTATGTTTTGAGTGTCGAATATTTTATAACCACAATTCAAGTGAATGTGTGTTCGTTGTTACACCAAATGCGATATAAAAGCTAAATCTGCAACTTCATGTTGGATAAAAAGCGAGGCTAAATTTAATAAAATTGTCAAAAACGTTAATGTCAGTATTACACATTTCCAAACAGTACAACAGTGGTTAGCCTCGACCCAAGGTTTAGGATATTGTCAAGTATTTCAGACTTTGATAGGATCTCCCTCCATTAATTACAAGCAAATAAAGTGATTCTTTTTTTTGAGACAGATAACATAACATCTATTTCTATTCTTCAATTTAAACAATTAAATTGTCATTGTTGATTATCAAAAGAATAATTTTAGTATTACTTAATTGCCACTTAAAATAAAACGATATTATATTAAAACTAAAACTATACGTTTTTGCTTAGTCTACCAGCTAGTCCTAGCGATCGTTTATTTTCTACGTTTTTTTCTCATTTTTCCGCCGCTTCCCAAGTAATGGTCCTCATCGTCACCATCCGCAGTTGCTTCCGTGCTTTCCTTAGTTAGTGTGCTTGAATCACCGACTTGCTGGGCGCCCCATTCCCTGCGTAGCTCACTAAGCATACCTGGAGTCAAAAGGCCTTGCGCGAGCAACCTTTCGGTAAGGCGTCCACGCGATGCGCTGGGAAGACGAGGCTCCTTCACATGGGTCACTCGGCGCATTACGTAGCTGTGTGTCTCACCGTCCTGGCTAGCCTCGGTGTTTTTAAGCAAACGAGTTATTTGAAACACGCCCTGCTGTATAATCTCATCCAGTTCCTTCTGGGCTTCCCGCACATTGGCTGCCTCGGGGAAAAGATCCACGAACCGATAGCTGTATGAACAAGGCGAATTAGGTTTTTTCGTTAGTTGACTTCTGCTAAACTTGCCTTAGCCATAGATACAAATCCATCACGTCAAATACGGCCTCTAGATGGACCAAGTCCAAGATAGTCTTCGGAAGCTTAAACGGCCAGCCACAATTTTTTTTTATAAAATCAAAGGTAATGTGCTCGTTACGGCTATATTGTCGAGCTACCTTTAGAAACATGGAACAAACAAATGGCATTTTACGATTAATGGGAGCACAGCAAAAAACGTAACGAGCCCGCAAAGGCAGCGGAACATGTTGTATCATTTCGGCCAAGAACTTGAAGTCTTCAATGTTGCACATAAAGTATAGGGAATCGTCAACAGTACACAGATTTACAAATATGTCCATTAGATTGCTCAGGGTTGAGCTCGGCAAGTGGTAAGCGTAAAGCTCAATCTGATCGGCCGTGGGATGCAGGCCAGCCTGCTTCAACGGCTCAGGGGTTTGAGCCAATATGCGCTGAAGGGTCTGCAAGTCCTCCGACTTAAAGGCAGTTACAAAGCCGTGCTCCCATTGAGTTCGAAAGCGGCCCGCTCTTCCCGCTATCTGAAGGGCCGAAGAAACCGATATTGTGTCGATCTCACGCTCTCCTCGCTCATTCATCGCCGGCTTGATCAAGGAATAGAATATAATTCGACGAATGCTCCTGAAAGTAAATATCGTGCGCTTTTAATCTTGCCGGAACCCAAATGCTGTAACACCTCACTTACAGGTTCAAGCCCATGCCAATGGCGTCTGTCGCCACCATTACTTTGCAGCTATTGGCGGGATCATTAAACTTGGCGGCTTGGGCGAGCTTTGTGCCAGGAGGCAGACCTCCATATATAACGGCCACCTCCTTACCTCTAGAAAACTTTTTTCAGAAATCATTTGGATAATATGAATTAGTTTTACTGACCGTGCTTCTATTTCACGCGAAACCGTATATATATCATGTTTGCTGAAGCAGACGATGCAGTCACCGGCCACGACATTATCCAATGAACCCAAGGCAGTGCTCTCGACTGTTAGCTCCGTAAGCCGATCGTAGCGCCGCACTTCGACTGTTTCATTGGTCGTCTCGCATATCTTCTGCAAGAGATCTAATGCACCTGGCTCCCCACAAACGTGGACTTCATCTGCGATCAGGCCGAGGAAGGCCCGTGTCCAAGCCCATCCGCGCTGAGGATCGCGAATCTGCTGTATTTCGTCGATTACAGCCACCTCATCTAAAACAGGAAAATAAGATTATGACTGGACGAAGAACAAGGAGCGCATCGATTACATGGAGTGTTGACCGATGTCATTTCCACAGTGCACGCAACATGATTAGCTGGCGAACTTTCGCTGATGCCAAACTTGCGCTCCTCTCCGGTCACCAAATCGCAGGGCGTGCCGCGCTCATTAGCCTTATTATACACCTCTGTAGCTAGAAGCTTGAGGGGTCCACAGTAAACCCCGGACTTCGCACTTAGGTACCTCTCCATGGCGTGGTAAGTCTTTCCGGAGTTTGTGGGTCCCGCATGAAACACGATCTTCCGGGTAATGGCTCGAGCGTTGCTGTACCAATTCGCGGGCTGCCTCAGGTCGGAGATCTTCTTCAGGTCGTCCATGCAGTCCAAGTGCGGAAACACCGTCTTTGCGTGATTCAGGAAGTATGGGAAAATGTCATCGATGTGGCCCGCTCCCTGTGTAATATCGCTAAAGGTAATGTGCAGGTCCACAGGAAGATTCTCCGCCTCTATGCAGTATCTCCGAAACGAGCCGAAGGCCTGCTGCTGTAAATAGGCTTGGAACGGATGCAAATAAGACGAGGGTGGGCTATAAAAACAGAGCTCACGTACCGTCTAGCCCATTTTCGATGCAAAGAGACTTGATTTCGCGGCGTTGGGTAAACTTGTTGAGGATTTTTAGTAGCTCAGCCTTTTCCAATTTGCCCACCAGCTCGGATCCCACGTCCTCGGAGTCGGCACTAGCCTGCACTTGCACCGGCTTGAACAGAGCGGACACGTTCGTCTCCGGCTTTTTCCGGGAGAATTGAAGGCCCGCCCGGTGCAGATGTCGCAAATTTGGAGCTATCGAAAAACACGGTCGCAAGCAGTGTGGCTGGCGGACAGCGCCCAGCAGGCTGACGCAGCGCCTGCAGTTTTGCATGGCCGGCCACTCGAATGTAAAACAAGCCCGGTTTTAATTCAACAATTCGCTGAAATTAATTTGCAAGCCCACGTTGTTAGCTCTGATATAACAGAACGGGCGGTGCAGCCGTGGCACAGCTGATTGAAAGGTGGCGAATGCTTATGCACCTCCTTGACGTCACTAATCGTTTATAAAGGTAATACCCTTTGCACACAGTCGCTTAGTACCTTCTGCACACAGCCGCGTAATACCCTTTGCATACAGCCGCCTAAAATTGTTAAAACTTTTAGCGGATTCGTGTTCACATAGAGAATCGCTGGAGAAAAAAATCACTGATAGGCATACACAATCCGTAGTCGAAGAAATTGGACGAGCAAGTTGTGGTTTTCCGAACAAAATGGAAGTCGACGCAAAACTGAACACAATTTGAAAGCCAAGAAGGACACAAGCTAGAGGGTATCAGATACCCGTTACTCAAAGGGAAATGGAGATATGCAAGCAGCAAAGCGAGATTAAAATGCGCCACCTACCGGCGGTAGACAGATTAAGCGTTATGGGCGTTAGAGTGGGCGTGGCAAACTTTTTTTTATCAATCGATAGGTATTGACGAGAGCAATACATTTCAGTTAAAATTTTTTATCTAGCTTGAAAAATGTGGGCGTCACAGGTTTCGGCGGTTTGTTGGCGTTTAAGGGGGCGTGGCAAACTTTTTTTGGGTCAATCGATAGGTATTGATGAGAGCAATACATTTCAGTTAAAATTTTTATTCTAGCATCAAAACTGTAGGAGCCACCGTTTTGGGCGGTATGTGGGCGTTAGAGTGGGCGTGGCACTTTGCGTAAGAAGCTCAGGAATCTGCACGCCAAATCTTAATAGCCTAGCTCTTATAGTTTCCGAGGTCTCAGCGTTCATCCGGACGGCCACACAGTCGTTATATACTTTCCGACGAATCTAGTATACCCTTTTACTCTACGAGTAACGGGTATAAAAACACTGAAGCGAAAATTGGTCGCTCAAGTGGAGTTTCTGCTCTGTCTGAACACCTTATTATACCGTCAGCACACAGCCGCTTAAAAGTAGCAGTGGAACTACAAGCGAATTCCTGTTCACATAGAGAATTGCTGCAGCCAGCAGTTGATCGGCAACGGCAAACTGTAACCGAAGGAAAGAAACGTGCAAGTTCACTTCGCTCCGAAAAAATTGCAGATCAACGGAAACCTAAACACAATATGTACAGCACCACATCATTACTTCATTGCTATAGCAAATCCTAAAGTTTCCATGTCTTCCTATCCAAACAAATCCAAATGTCATATATATTTGTCTCTTTCTAAGCCTTTAATGAAACCCGATGCAAATTCATTTTCTTCTAAAAAAATGGCGAAACTCCAAGTACATTAATCGCCCAAACTCGTCAAAAATATTCAATAAAAGCACTTAAATATAGTGTGTAAAAACGGTGAGGTATCGAATAGCCCCTCTCTAAAGATTATTCAAAAAGTGGCAACGCTGTGTATTGTTTGTCAGAACCAAAATGAGTCACTTGGACTTTTAAACGAAATACGAGTTTTAGTAATAAAAATTCTCAACAGTTTACGTTTCCAACAGTGCAATGGGCTTATTTGGCAAAACCCCAAGTAAAGATCCCAAAGAACAGGTAACGAAGCAGAGGCGGCGCAAAGAGATGCTCGAGAAATGACGTCATTCCAGTTTGTTTTGATTTTATGTTTGTATACAGCATTTTGTATTGTATATCTTGCTCTGCTCTATGTATTCCGTTTAGGTGCAGGAGTGGACGCACAAGATACGGAAAGAGGGCAACCAGCTGGATCGACAGATTCGAAGTATTCAGAGGGAGGAGGAGAAAGTAAAGCGCTCGCTCAAGCAGGCGGCCCAGAAAAATGACCGTGACACCTGCGTCATTCTGGCCAAGGAGATTGTGAACGCTCGAAAGGCCATCAACCGCATATACACGTCAAAGGCGCACCTTAACTCTATCCAGATGCAAATGAAAAACCAACTTTGTGAGTGAGTGTCCTCGCTTCTCTTACCCGACTAACGACCTCCTTCCAGCCACCTTGCGGGTAGCCGGATCTCTGCAAAAGTCCACGGAGGTCATGCAGGCCATGCAAAGTTTGGTGCGGTATCCCGAGCTGGCCGGCATCATGCGCGACATGTCCAAGGAAATGATGAAGGCCGGCATCATCGAGGAGATGTTAGACGAGACCATGGACTCGCTGGAGGAGTCTGAGGAATTGGAGGAGGAGGCGGGAAAGGAGGTGGACAAGGTTCTGTGGGAGATCACGGACGGCAAGCTCGGAGAAGCTCCCTTGCCCCCAGAGGCTACTCCGGCGGACAAGGCGTCTGCGTCTGCGTCTGCTGCCCGCGTCGAGGTTGCGGTTGAGGAGGATGATGACGAGGGAGAAGAACTGCAGGAGATGCAAAGCCGACTGGCTTCGCTGCGATCCTAGATCATAGACTACTATGCGGATTGCATTTAGATTCCAAAATAGTGGCAAGTGATTCCGGCTGGCAGGCCCTTTTAAATCCTAAACTACAAAACACCCGTCAGCGCTTTATCATAAACACCAAAATAATCTTCAGAAACTAATCTTCAGTTTTTATATTTTAAGTGAACATTGCCCCAGTTCAAGTTTTTTTGAACGTGTTGTAATTTACACAAGATAACTTTATTTATTGTATAATTTTCCTTGTATTAAAAATTGATATTTGCTGTGGCATGTCTCAACACTGGTAATTTATATAAGCTTGGACTAGGGCCTAACATTGTTCTCTACCCAGTCCAAGTACGCCGCCACCCTTGTGTACACTCCCGGCCATCCCCTTAAGCCGCAGGGCGTGGGTCCGTAGGACACCACTCCGGCAATATAGTAGTTAGAATATCCATTGGAATAGTCCTCAAGCAAGAGAGGCCCTCCGGAGTCACCGCGACAGGAGTCGACACCCTCCACTCCCCCGGCGCACATCTGGTTGGCAGTGACAGTCCTGCGTTGGCTGGCGTAGCGCTGATTGCAGACATCGGTCGACACCGGATCCAACTCCGCCTTTAGCTTAATGTTGGACGTGAAGTTCGTCTCGGTACGACCCCATCCGGCCACCACAACCTTGCGGCCCAGAAAAATATCGTTGCGTTGCGACGCCAGAGTGGGCAAGCACACTGGTGAGATAAAGTCAGTGTACTGAACTTCATCCTGCAGTCGCAGCAACGCGATGTCATTTAACTGGTCACGGGAGTTTCCCGGGTACTGTGGGTGCGGAATCCGCTCTACAACAGGGCAGTCGATGTAGGGCTCGTTGCAGTCCCGCCGACCGTTTTTGCCGGTGGTGCAATCCGGATTGGTGCTCGCGTCCCATTCGCCCAGGCGCACTCCAGTCAGCTGCCAGTCGCTGGGGATGGCCGAGACGCAGTGTGCTGCCGTGAGCACGTATCGATTGTTTATCAGAGATCCGCCGCAGTGGTGACCTTTCAAGTTACCGGCTAGTGAAGAAAATTGTCAGTCTTGAACCAGGGCGGATTTTGATCACTCACGCTTCGTGTACTCAATTAGCGCCATCCAAGGGAACTCGCGCTTGCCTGTCTCCTTGCCGCCCACGACACGGTCTCCAAAATTTTCGCCACAATTGGGGGCCTGAGGCAGTAGACTGTTTCCGGGGAGTCTTGAAGGACTAACACGCATGCGGCTATTTGCACAGCAAATCTGAGAAAGTGGTATAAAAACAATTTTTAACTGATCCCTTCAATGAGGTTGAAAGTTAAAGTTGTAACGATCGCAACAACATCCAGAATTTCGGATGTCAGTGAGAAAATTTACTGGATAAGTACAATGTACATACGCATGTGTTTATTAAACCTAAACCCAGGTGAAATTGGTTAGTTGCGTTAACCACTATCTGGAATTTAAGAATTCGCGTTGACTAAAGAAGTCGCGGCTAGCATTAACTTAATTTTACTCAAATAAATTCATGCTTTCTTGACCACAAAATGAAAACGATTGTATATCGTCCTAGTAAACCCAAACGCCTTGAAAATTGAGGGGTTAGGTTGGGAATGTATATTAAAAAATAAAACTAGCAATATTTTTTTAAAATAATTTTTGATGAGTATAAATTAAAAACAAAAAAGAACGCTATAGTCGAGTACTTCGACTATCAGACTATTCGACTTAGCTGAAGGGACCAAAGGGAAATGGAGATATGCAAGCAGCAAAGCGAGATTAAAATGCGTCACCTACCGGAGGTAGACAGATTTAAGCGTTATGGGCGTTAGAGTCGGTAGGTCATTCGATAGGTATTGACGAGACCAATACATTTCAATTAAAATTTTTTATCTAGCATGAAAATTGTGGGCGTCACAGGTTTGGACGGTTTGTGGGCGTGGCTAACTTTTTTTGGGTCAGTCGATAGGTATTGATGAGAACACTACATTTCAGTTAAAATTTTTAGTGTAGCATCAAAACTGTAGGAGCCACAGTTTTGCGCGGTTTGTGGGCGTTAGAGTGGGCGTGGCACTCAGCTGCGTAAGAAGCTCAGGAATCTGCACGCCAAATCTCAATAGCCTAGCTCATATAGTTTCCGAGATCTCAGCGTTCATCCGGACGGACAGACAGACGGACAGATGGATATGGCTAGATCGAATCGGCTAGTGATCCTGATCAAGAATATATATACTTTATGGGGTCGGAAACGCTTCCTTCTGCCTGTTACATACTTTCCGACGAATCTAGTATACCCTTTTACTCTACGAGTAACGGGTACAATAAAACTCACACCGCGATTATGGCCATTAATTTGTTCTTTTCGGCTTGGCCATGTAGTTTCAAAACTTTATAATCAAAGTCATTTTCTTTTGACATTAAACTATTTCAATAATTTAATTAATGTTAAAAATGGTCCTTTCTGTAAAAGTTTTGTGTGCCATAACATTCGAGTGTGTTGCGAGATCTTTAAAGTCGTTTCGCAGAACCAAGAAATATCTTCACAGATTGCATAATTTTAAAAATTTTGGACCTAGATATCTAGAAAAAAGGTTTAAAGAGATTCATGTCAATATTTTTTTAAACAAGGCAAAATACTTTCACCTTTATACCTTGATCAAGGTATATATAAAAATAAGAATTCGAAAGATTCATGTTAATAGCTTTTACACTACCAAAATATCCTACATTTTTGCAAGGTATATTCGATTGTTTCTATGAGAGCAATAGGATATAGACGTCATACGCGGATTTCAAACTTGATCTGCGAACACATATTTAAGGAAGACTGTGAAAGTTTGTTATCGCCAACTTTTAAACTGAGCTTGCAAACGGTATTGACACATAGGGACTTGGCTATATCGACTCCCCTATAGGGGGATCACTATAGTGATCCTGATCAAGAATATATGTACACTATAGGGTTGGAAACGTCTCCGTCACTGCGTTGCAAACTTGTGACTGAAATATTTATAAACTATATAAAGGAAAATGTATTTAGTGGAAATGTATTTAAAAACTGTGTTTTAAGATCCTGTAAAAATGTTAATGGTGTTAAAAAAATACGCGTCGATTGGTACCAAAACCATTGCAATACAATACTCCATTGCAATGTTATGGAACTCAAAGAAATTTTAGTCTTTTTGAAAATTAAGACCTTAAATTTTTTGTCGATTTATAGGATTACGCTAAAAAACATTAGTTCTGCAACTTTTTGAAAGCCGCGCTAGGTAGCGGATTAAAAGCTAGAATGGACTAAAATTCAAAGGAACTGAAACTTCTAAACGCCTTATGCTAAGGTAATGCTAAAGATAAATTTATGATTTAAACACTTTAATTTGATATAATTGTTTTAACTAAAATCCATGCAAAATTAGACCTAATTTAAATTTTTTTGTATTAGTTTAAAGCAAATAACTTATTAGGTTTATCTAAAATCCATGAAAACTATGCAATCTTGATTTCTGGAGGACAATAACCTTTTTAGTATAAAAGAAGACAGTATGGAATTGGAATAACTATAATAACACTGTGAAAAATTGTTTGGGTTTTAAAATGAAACCACAATTTGGACTTCACGTGCAGAAAGTACACATCGAAATAAGCCAATGTCATATAAGGTTTCTTTGGCTTAGATCGCGTCGGGGTCTCATAATAGCAACAGCGATACAGGGATATATCCTATAATACAAAGGTATTGTACGATCTAATGGATAAATACACTTCCTTAATGTTTCTCATTCGTCACGCTTTATTAAAATCGTGCAGCTAAATGCCTTCACAGGCAAATTTTATTGCTGCGTCCCGAATGAGGAAATATTTATAAAGTGTATTTATTTAGTAGATCTTTTAATACATTTTCGGCACAGAAGTTGAACCAGATCTCTTGTACATATGTTGAAGGTGCGATCGTTTTTTACCTCGTTAAGAGGTGTTTTTGTTTGATAACAATAATTAAAAGATATATATATTTTAATAAAATATTATTATTATTATTAATGTTAAAACTAAGAGCAAACGTATATGCCTACAATGGAGTCATCATCAAATTTGAATTGAAAAATAGGCAATACTCTATAAATTGACCGGTAGACTATAGCTACAAAAGGCTTTAGAATGTTGAATGTTTGCAGGATATACAAGTGTTACAAAAGTTGTACATGTTTTTTTTACGGCTACCAACAAATCAACTTCTTCAATTTTAGTATAAATCTTTAAAAAACTTGGAACTTACAAGGACCTGTCCATTGCGGAAACCACACTGACTGTTTCGTAGAAATCGTCGGTCTTGGTCAGAAACCGCTCCGCGTTGAACCAGTTCGAAGAGATACCCACATTCCCTCAGGGCGATGCAGGTGCCGCTGCTCTCATCTGGCGTTGTGCAATACCCAAAGATCTCTGGGGAGCAAAGATAAAAATATAACCCGCATTAGTAACACGGCGGGTACAAATGCGGGAATGGGAATTCCTACGCGCTGAGACCAGCCCACTATGATCGACTTGGCTCCACTCGACGGGGTGAAGTTCAGCACTGATAGGCGATGGCATTGTGCTTTAAATTGATGTAAACAATCCTCAACTGCGCCTGGTATGGCTCTACTTGCCTTGTGCTAATGTGCTGCTTGCTCCCACCAAGAGCCCCACTAGAACGACCAGAAAAAAGTTTGGTTTCATGGTGATATCTTGGCTTCTTGGCTGCACTACGCAAATGTACGTGGAAGAACGATCCGTTGACTGGGCGCCTGCTGAAAACACACTGACTGTGGCTGGGAACTGGTGAGCGGATGAGCTCCTCTTGTTCTAAGGTGGAGCTTATCAGGGGGCTCTCTCCCAGCGACTTGTTCGACTTGGTGAAGCACACCAGAACTAAGAGAGGGCAATTCTGGGCTTGTCTTTGTTTAGACTACTACCAGATGAGCTTAAAACGCTTTCTACTTCGAGTTCGCTCCGAGGCGAACAAGTCATTCTGCTTCTGGCGCTCTTTTTGCTTAATGCTCATCGGGGAACCTCTCAGGAGAGTGTGCGAAGGCGAAAATAAAATAACGATCTGAGTGAAGCTTCAAGCGAATGGTATCGCAAAAACTAAAAGGATAGCATCCCAAGACGAAGGGTGCCGAATGAGAAAAATTTAGAGAGTATATTTATTTATTATATGCTATAACACATGTAGAAAGTGTACCTATTTAGTCGAATTTAAAATCATTTTTCGTCACAAAAGTTGATACTAAAACCTTTGTACGCTGAAGGTGCGATCGTCTCTTTGTTTTGACCTCGTTAATTTTTTTTTGATTGCATTCGTTGAAACGTATATAACTGTAAGATGGAATCGTTTTCCGTATAAAGTATATATATTCTAGATCAGGGTCAATAGCCGAGTTGAGCTAGCCATATCCGTCTGTCCGTGCACCTGTCTGTCTGTCCTTTTATACAATTATTTAAAATGAGTATTAGTTAAAAAGTTAGATGAGTAAAGGGTATATAATAGTTGAGGCACTCGACTTCAGCCCTCTCTCTTCTTTTCCAGTACATAATTGAAGTACATTTTAGGTGAAGCTTCCTTTCTTTTTTTTGTTATAATAGTTTATCTTTTTTCTGGTTGCTGTCAACAAATATAAAGTTTTAAATTTAAAAATAATAATATAACTAAGTTAAAGTGTTAGAACTAAATATTCTTATATCATGCTTACAATAGAGTTTGGATACGGACAAACAAAATTCAAAGTTTAGGTAGCGTTTATTTTTTACAATAATGTGTTATAACTCAAAAGTTAAGGTTTAAAGTTTAAACAGAAATCGTAATCGTTTTTGAGAGATGATAAAAAACTAATAAAATTTAATTTAAAAATCTTTTGGCGATAATTTTAAGCTATTGTTATAAGACAAATCACGCTAGAAAGGCGTACATAGTATTACAAAATACCTCTTAAGCGACATATAGCAAAACTCGGTAGCTTTAGTAATTCACAAGATACGGGCATACGAAATTGAGCTATTTATAGCTGTTTTTCCGCCAAGATAGAGTGTCTTAAAAAAGTGGTAGAACTAAAACGAACATTCTAAACATTTCAGGACACAAAAACCACGATTTGGAACAAGCTGACAAACAAAATAAAATTTTCGATTGGAATAGTCACCCAAAATCTTGTTTTAGGTATAACTTTTGATCGGAGCATTTTAACAAACGCGTCATTCGACGCGTATTATCAGTAAGAAAACGAATTACAATTTGTAAAGTTTTGGTATACAATCTATTAAGTTTTTGCAATACCTTTCGATTGGTGCATTACTCGGTATGGGGTATCGATTGGAGTAGTCGCCTTCGCCCACTCTCCTGGTTCGTTTCCTCACTACGTGGACTGCCGTCCACAATAACTCCACAGCAAATATATTTTATTAAACTCTGCTCTTTTATTTTCATAGGTTTGCAATTTCTTTTTAATTTCAATTTTACTTACATGCAGTAGTAAACATACTATAAGGCTGTGAGCACGTCGAGCGAGACAGAAAGATATGGAGACCCTACCCAGCAGTTCCACAATTCAGCGCTGGCACAAAATCATCATGCGGTCGACTACGACGACGTTCGCAAGGGCAAACGTAACGTGGGCAGAGCCAATCTTTCGAAAAATCTGTTTTCACCCTTAAACAAGGTAGAACGCTACAGTCAAGTACCTCGACTATTAGATACCCGTTACTCATACCCAAAGGGAAATGGAGATATCCAAGCAGCAAAGCGAGATTAAAATTCTCCACCTACCCGCGATCGCAATATATGGTTATATGGGCGTCAGACTGATTTAAGCGTTATGGGCGTTAGCAAACTTTTTTTTTTTTTGGGTCAATCGAAAGGTATTGTTGAGACTAATACATTTCAGTTAAAATTTGTTTCTAGCCTGAAAATTGTGGGCGCCACAGGCTTAGCGGATTGTAGGCGTTAGAGTGGGCATGGCACCATTTTTTTTGGGTCAATCTATAGGTATTGATAAGAACAATACATTTCAGTTAAAATTTGTATTCTAGCATTAAAACTGTATGAGCCACAATTTTGGGAGGTTTGTGGGCGTTAGAGTGGGCGTGGCACCTTGCTGAAATAAACTTACGCTGCGTATGAGGCTCAGGAATCTGCATGCTAAATCCCAATAGCCTATAGTTCCGGTTCTCAGCGTTCATACGACAGACGGACAGAGGGTCAGGCTAGGTCGACTCGGCTAGTGATCCTGATCAAGAATATATACTTTATGGGTCGGAAACGCTTCCTTCTACCTGTTACATACTTTCCGACGAATCTAGTACACCCTTTACACACGAGTAACAACGCAAATACGCAGCTAACGTTTTTTGTAGGGTCTGTTTTTCAGCGCGGTACTCAGATAAGCTAAGGAAATACCAGAAAAAATACCTGATTTCGCTAGTGAATTTCGATGAACGCCGTTAGCCGCGGCCCAAAGAATAAGAAATTTTATCTTTGGCGGTGTCCGTAGGAAATTTAAAAATAAAAAATGCAAAAAAAATGCCTAAGGAGGTCAGTGCAGATGAAAAAGGACGCCTAATCCAAGCTGTTGCCCGTTATTGTGGGACTTGACCGACAGGAAGCAATACCACAGCGGGGCAAATCCGCACAATAGTTAAAGTACTGGAGGAGATCCAATAGTTAATCCTAGTGGGAAGGAACATGGGACATCGCTCGATCTCCGACGAGCTCTCCATTGAGGAACCACCGGACTCCACCTCCACCAGCTACTTGGCGGCTAAAGCGGAGATGGACGACGCGCCGGCTTCTATAGGGAGGAACGCGGATACCTCAGAAACTATCAAAGATAGAGAATTGGGTTTTAGATTCCGTAGCCTTGTACGCAGCGCAAGTTTGTTATGCGAATATGCCATCACCACTCTAACGCCCACAAAGCGCCCAAAGCTGTGGCGCCCACAATTTTCATGTTAGAAACAAATTTTAACTGAAATGTATTGGTCTCAACAATACCTAACGATTGATTCAAAAAAAATTTGCCACGCCCTCTCTAACGCCCAGAAATCGCCTAAGCCTGTGGCGCCCACAATTTTCATGCTAGAAAAAATTTTTAACTGAAATGTATTAGTCTCGTCAATACCTATTGAATGACCCCAAAAGAAGTTTGCCACGCCCACTCTAACGCCCACAGCGCTTATATCTGTCTACCACCCACATAACCATATTGAGACCGCGGGTAGGTTTCAATCTCGCTTTGCTGCTTGCATATTTCCATTTTCCTTTTGTCCCTTTAGCTGAGTAACGGGTATCTAATAGTCGACGTACTCGACTTTAGCGTTCTTCCTTGTTATACCCTTGCAGAGGGTATATTGATTCCAGTCAGAAGTTTGCAACGCAGTGAAGGAGATGTTTCCGACCCCATAAAGTATATATATTCTTGATCAGCATGACTAGACGAGTCGATCTAGCCATGTCCGTCCGTTTCTACGCAAACTAGTCTCTAAGTTTTTTTTTTTAATTATATCTTTGGTGTTTTTTAACATATAACCTCCTAAGCTCAGAAATAACATTTTTTTAATTAGTTTTGAATTTCGAATTAAATTTTATCAAAATCGGACGACTATATCATATAGCTGCCATAGGAACGATCGAAAAATTGGTGGGAAAATAATATGAAACAAATTATAGCTTCGGTGTTTTTTAGCATATAACCTTCTACGCTTGGAAATAACAATTTTAAATTAGTTCTGAATTTCGAATTTATTTTTATCCAAATCGGACGACTATATAATATAGCTGCCATAGGAACGATCGGAAAATTGGTGGGAAAATAATATGAAAGAAATTATAGCTGCGGTGTTTTTTAACATATAACTTCCTACGCTTGGAAATAACATTTTTTAATAAGTTCTGAATTTCGAATTTAATTTTATCAAAATCGGACAACTATATCATATAGCTGCCATAGGAACGACCGGGAAATTGGCTGGAAAATAATATGAAACAAATTATAGCTTCGGTGTTTTTTGACATATTTTCTTATTGGGAATTTTATTTTTTGTATTTTTAAATTTAATAATTATAACTGCAAGGGTATACAAACTTCGGCTTGCCGAAGTTAACTTCCTTTCTTCTTTTCTATGACTTAGAGCATTGTTAACCATTTTACGGGAACATTGCAACTCCTTTGAAATCTCCGTTATAGTCCTTCCAGATTATTTAAGGATCTGGACGACTTCTCTCTTTGCCGCGAGCACATGGGCCCTTTAGCCATCGTGACCCCAACTTGTTCTTCTCTCTCAACTAAAAAAAGAATTGTCAGATCATTTAATGCACCAAAAACTAATTAGTTTTGAGCAAACGGATAGATAATGATGAGTGTGTTAAACTTGTGACCAACCTACTTTGCATTTAATTTCAGTAAAAGGAGTGCCAAAAAGAAACGGTAAAAGCTATAGCGGCGAGATTAACTGAGCACGTTGTTCTATTTATATATCAAATTTTTGTGAAGAGAGAGAGGCGAAAAGGCAAGTGGTAAAGGAGATATCCTTAAGAGAAAATGCAGTATGCATGGTGTGCTAAACTTGTGGCCACCACTTTAAGTAGCCCTTAGTTCTTCTGGGATTGCGAACTCTCCTTTCCTTTAGTATAAATGGTCCAGCGTAATCACATCCTGAGTGCTGGAAGGGTAAAGCCTCCTTTATACGGATGCCTGGTTGATCGGCCATGAATTGGTGCTCCGTGAGTTTACGTTGGCGAAAGCTTTTTATGTAGTTGTGAATCAGATTCCTTATCAGGTTTCGC